GCTCCTTTGGGAAAGCTTGAATTAGGGCCACAAAGTTTGATGCACGCTTTCAACACGTACCGGTTTTAGACACCGGGAACAATCCACTTTCGGTCCTAGAAGTCTGAAAGTTGCTTTTCTAGATTCAGTGTTCGAAACTCGGAGTTTTTCCGAAACTTTTCTTCTGTCCCTCCTGTAAATTCTGATCATAACTCGAGTATTACCAGGAGTCTGAGACTACTTAGAACGGTTGATAACATGTTCATTTCATTCAATCATTTTGAAGATTATTGAACTTAAAAGACATGATTAGGCGAATCACAAGGACATTTTTCGTTGCCTAAGTCATTATAGCTCGAGAACTGAGGCTTGCACAGGTCTGCAGAGAACGTTTGGGACTAACATGAGGTGCAAAAGTCTTTGCACAAAATGTCAAGCAATGTTTCTATGGGTTCACACTGTGTTAGAGATTTTGATTTTTTTCCTTGCTGAGTTCAAGATCTGAACTAAAAAAACTGAAATTTCTAAGAAGGAAATTTTACATAGAAAATATTCAAAAACAAAAAGCTCTCAACAATTGTGTTACAATGTGAAAGACTTGAGTATTTTTGCTGCGAGTTTAAAATAAGTTTACAACACCGTGTACAAATCAAATGCAAGGAAATGTAGCGCTTGAAAAACTCGATTGGACCACTACTTTATAAAATTAGCAGCATCTGTTTCAATGGAACTAGAAAACGTTTAAAAAAATCTCTCTCTCTTCACAATCCAGTATTTATAATCAAAAATTAGGGCACTATAAGAGCTAACTGCTATCGCCCAAGTATTGAACAAAATGAAATTAAAATTATACTTATTTGTAGAGAACTAGATGCTGTACCAGATGCTAAAGTTTGAAAAATAAAAGGAAGTTTGTTTTCAAATTGTAATAAGTCAATTAAGGTAAATTAATCAAGTTTTGTTATTATTACGAAAATTGATTAATGTCTTGCCCAAAACAAAAGAGAAAGATCATATCATTTAGTTCAACAAAAAGAGCCAAAACAAATGTGTACATGCGTACTGTTCTTAATACTTTCTTAAAGATTATAACGTTCTAGAGAAGTTGATAAATGATGGTAGTTGTAAGACAATTGTGAGGTCTTTCTGTTTTTGAATATTTTCTATCTAAGATTTCCTTCTTAGAAGTTTCAATTTATATATTTTTGTAGTTCAGATCTTACCAACAATAGAAAAAACAAAGTCTCTAACACAGTGGGAACTAGGTATGCACCGGTGTCGGTATACCGAATACCGAAAATACCGAACTTCGGTATATACCGATACCGAAAATACCGACTTTTTTTGACTTGGAATTTTTTGGATTTTTTCATTTGAAATGAGGTATTTTAGCATCCTGAACAAGCAGAACGTATAAATAACACTCAGCTGTGTATTTTGAGCATGTACCGATAACAAAAAAAGAAAAACTTTGGCTTTAGAAAGCAAACAAAGCTCTTGTTTTCCGTCCTGATTCTTTCTGCGTGTCCAGGACGCTAAAACATCTCATTTCAAATGAAAAACTCCAAAAAATTCCAAGTGAAAAAAGTCGGTATTTTCAATATCGGTATATACCGGAGTTCAGTATTTTCGGTATCGGTATTCATACCGATACCGATGCATACCTAGTGGGAACCTGGAGAACTGTTGCTCGACATTTTCTACAAAGACATTTGAACTACATGTTATTTTTTCCACATTTTAGCATACATGTCGAGAGCGTTACCCCATTACGACTTTGGAAAAGCGTAAACGTTGCAATGCGTTCAAACTCACGAAAGTTTTTACGCTTTCACGTCTTTACGCAAAGACGCAGAGACGTTAGAGAGGTAAAAGACGTAAAGATGTTGCGTCTTAACGCATCGGACATGCCTGATTATTATATAATAGTTGAATTTGACTATGACAGATTTATTACCTGTTATTGTTGTGGTTTTGGACTTATTTCTCTTTCTTCTAGTAAATATAACTATATTTGGTACTAGTATTCTAAAAATTGTTGTTAGGCCACCTACTAAGCCTAAGATTGTTGTTATAATGTAAATAAGAACAAATCGTTGCACATATGTATATGTACATTGTTTTGGTTGACATTGTTGATAATACTGATCATAGGATACATTTGGATTCCATTGTTCAACCATCAATTGGTAAACAATATCACCAATAGTTGTATTTGATTGATACGTACTATTAACAGATAGACTAAGTAAAGTTATATTAACTTTTGATGTCGAATTTAGATGATATTCTAATTGTCTTAAACATTGTTGTTGATAAAAACATTCTAATGTTGATTGTAATAATGCTTCGATTAAATAACAACCCCTAAACATACCAGTAATATTAAATATACTTATTTCGCGTCCATTAATTAGATTGTTAAGGCTATCATTGTAAATTGATAATTGTCCAATACATTTATTTGTAGTTGAACAGGAACAAACTTGACCATTTGCACCATTAGTATAATCCATATAAGCAACTGCAATGTCGTATGTAAATACTATTGTAGCAGCACCATTAGTACTATAAAATGACCATAGTTCATTACCTTGTGTTGTACCACTAATCAATTGTAATGATGATATAAATGTATTAGTGGTTGTTGATATAAATAATCGGATATTTCCATCAAACTCTGTAGAAAATAATTCGAATGGCGTAACAGTAGCAGTAGCATATCTAGTCGAATAAAATACTTGCATTCCATCAATAATTGTTGATTGTGACAATTGACAAAACAATTTCAGTAGTTGCATCAGAGATGGTCCCAATGCACGAAAATCATAACCATATATCAGATGATAGTCATCTGATCCAGCGTAATTTTCGATATAATCAAACCATTTCTGTTTAACAAAATCTGATGAACATATTTGATGATAGGTTGGTTGAAGTTGTAAGAAATTAGCGTATGGGACAATTATCGTCGAACATGGGCAAGACACAGTTTTTGAATATTTTTCATAGATTTGTGTATATTGTGTAATTGATGGTTCTTTGACAGTTACTGTTTGTGTTGTTGCTGTAAGTGATGTATAGAATAGAAG